GAGTGTCCTGTGCTTAACAAGTCTGCATTCCCGTTAGTCTCTTGTGCTAACAAGGTCAGGATTTGTAAGTGTTTACGTCTGTCCCGTGTGTGTGGTAAATGCAGATTTGCTTGAACCATGTGTCTGTGTGCACTGGTCTTCAAAGAAAGGAGTCCGTGATGTGTCCTGATGTAAGAGTTGTGATGGAATGAGTGTTCTCTTTCCTGCAGTTCCCATGGCTATTGAGGAACAGGTTGCAGTCATCTATGCTGGTGTAAGAGGTCACTTGGACAAGCTGGAACCCAGCAAGATCACTAAATTTGAGAGTGCTTTCCTAGCTCATGTGCTGAGCCAGCATCAGGCCCTCCTCTCCACAATCAGGTATGGTGGTTTATCTTGCTTCATCCCAAGGGTATTGACTTGATGGCTGGAGTGCAGGGAGTGGACACTGAACTGCTAATTTAGTGTGTCCTAGAACATTAGGCCTTCAGCTGCCTGTACCAGAACTGGAGGATAGACCAACCGTCTTAACCACCTTCCTCAGCTTCGTATCTTCAGCTCTTAGGAAAGGCAGCTGATGCTTAGAGTGAACCTACTTGTATATTTCTCCTCTAATCTGTTCCCAGAATCACTTGAGTCATTTCCCAGATTTTGGGCATCTTTAAGCTGTTAAGAGTGGGTTAAGTGCCAGTGAGTGGACTGTTTGTGATTGAGTATTTCCATAGTCCTGTCCTGGGAACTAGTCCTGGCTTGTTTATCACGAGGCAAATCATGTACCTTCTGGCTTTGAGGCACAGCTCTATAGGTAGGCCCTGGCTGGAATACGTACAGCTGTTCTGAAAGTATTTGTGGACAAACTTTTGTTAAGTGGGACTAACTTCTTTAGGATTAGGAATATTATGTCAGTGGTACAGCTTATGCATCAAACAGAAATTTGTTAATTCATCTCCTGACTTTGTTGGAAAGCTTGTTGTAAAGCTTCTGTCTGTGTCACAGGGATTGACCATGTATTTATTGCTGTGTCACGAGTTAAACTAAACTCTTTCAACAGGACCGAGGGGAAGATCTCTGACCAGACGGAAGCAAAGTTGAAGGAAATAGTCACAAATTTTCTGGCTACTTTTGAGGCATAAATGCTTTAAAACTGTTCAAACAGACACGGCTGTTGTGATCCTGTTCTCCAGTTCCATCAAAGACTAAAGTATGTGCAACTTGAATGTACAGATCTTAATGCGAATAAAAGTTCCCATGTGAAAAAGCTTATGGGCTCTGTTCTGAATGACTGCCTTCTGCTTGGCTACTTGTGCCTGTAGAGCCGCAGAGCTGAACTCCCCTGGACAGTCCTGCTAAAGGAACTCTGGTAAATCAGGGGGCATATTAACTGTTGGGTGGATCAGACTGCCCTTACATGAACCAAGAGGGTAGCAGGTGGATTTTGCTGCTGGGATTGCAGTTCCCATCAGGACAGTGCCGAGGGGTGTGCTCAGAGTGTTCATCCTTCGAGCCAGGCAGCTGATCTCGGCGAAGGGCATGCAGCAGGGGAGACAGCTTTTACTGCCCTGTCATGGGGGGTAACTCACTGGACCTCACAGGAATCTGCAACAGCTTGATACTGTGTCAGTACTGCTTAGGATTGCTGTCTGACATCTCCCGGTGCCCGGCATTTGGAAAAACAGGTTAGAACAGATGTCCTTGTGTCTTAGGACAACTGCAGGTGTCGCTGTCACAGTAGTCACAGATCCTTAAAGCTCATCTAGTTCTACCCCCTTGCCATGGGCAGGGACACCTTCACTCATCCAGGTTGCTCCAAGCCCCATCCAACTTGGCCTTGAACACTTCAGGGATGGGGCAGCCACAGGTTCTCTTATCAACCTGTGCAACTGCCTCTGTCCTTGTGTCTTAGGACAACTGCAGGTGTCGCTGTCACAGTAGTCACAGATCCTTAAAGCTCATCTAGTTCTACCCCCTTGCCATGGGCAGGGACACCTTCACTCATCCAGGTTGCTCCAAGCCCCATCCAACTTGGCCTTGAACACTTCAGGGATGGGGCAGCCACAGGTTCTCTTATCAACCTGTGCAACTGCCTCCCCACCCTCAGCAAATAACCCCCTCCTAATTCCTAATCCGGACCTACTCTTACAGTTTAGAGCCATTCCCCCTTCTCCTATCACTCCAGGCTCTTGCAAGTAGTCCCTGTCCATCTTGTAGGCTCCTTTCAGGTATTGGAAGGCTGCAATTTGGTCACCTAGAAGCCGCCTCTTTTACAGGCTGAACAATCCCAATTCTCTTAGCCTTTCCTTGTAGAAGAGGTGCTAATCATCTTGGTGGTCTCTGGACTTGCTCCAACAGCTTGATGTCCTTGTGCTGGGTACCCCAGAGGCTGCACTGCAGGTGAGGTCTCACCTGAGCGGGGCAGAGGGTCAGAATGCCCTCACTTACTGCCCATGCTGCTGGGGATCAGCCCAGCACACAGGAGGGTTCTGGGCTGCCAGAGCATGTGACTGGGGCTTGTTGAGCTGGCCCACGAGCAATTCCATTGCGAACTCCAGTTCTGTCGGTAAACCCCCTGCGGTCGTCGGTGGTGGTAATATGGATGTATGGTATGTATGGAGGTAATATACCAGAGGAGCTCTTCCATTTCCTGTCTGCAGCATGGTACATGAGGCACAACATCCCTGGGTTAGACTGATTGTGGATGGGACAGAGTTCAAAATCACTCTATTTTGTGTGGTGCATTCAGTCTGGTACACTCAATAATCCTCACTGACACTCCATGCAGCTGTTAAACCTGTGAGCAGGACTGTTCCAGAGATGTTCACTGACTCCAGTGAACTTTGTTCACAGGAACATCCTGTCTCCCAGTTCAAACCTGTGATGTTATGAGCAGCCGAAACTGTTCTCACATAGTTCCGGGCTAACAAGCTTGTCTGTTAATAACCCGAACGCTCTGAGAGTGTGCGCTCTGCACCACTGGTGAAAAATAAATACCTTTTCAGTGCAGAAGCCTCAGACACCTTTCTGAGAAGAGTTAGTGCTGTGGTTCAGGAGGAGGGCTTCCAGGGAAGGTCATCTGGTCTTTCACCATCTTGTTCTATGCACCGCCCCAGAAGGGGTGGCTAGGGGGCTTCACAGGTCTGAGGGAATTCTGTCGTGGAACCTTCTTGATCTGGCTGCCTGACATCTCTTGTCCCTTGACAGCTTTTACCGCTTGTGATTAAACCCTGATTACTGCATGGTGTTACTGTTCCGTGTTTTGCTTGCATGCTGCTCTAGTTGGAGAGCACCAAGCTCAGGGGTGTCTGTGCGATTTTGGACTGAGATGTATTTGTTTTCAGTAACATGAGATGACAAAGTTCTGTTTTCTGCCCTGTTGCTGCTGTGATGTAGGAAGGTGATAACTTTCTCATTAGACCACTGTGTGGTAAATGCATCCAGTCCAGTCAGCACGAGGGTCAGTGGGGCAGCTTTTGAAGGATGGGTTGCAGGTCCAGAGCAGAGCCATGGGCTGCTGTGGCCACGGGGTGGGGCAGGGAAGCTGGGAAATGTTGAGTGGATCACAGACTCACAGAGTGCTTTGGTTTGAAAATGACCTTAAAGGCTGCCTCCTTCCAACTCCCTGCCATGGGCAGGAGCACTTTCCACTAGACCATGTTGCTCCAAGCCCCATCCAGGTTGGTCTGAAACACTGCCAGGGATGGGGCAGCCACAGCTTTTCTGAGCAACCTGTGGCAGTGCCTCACCACCCTCACAGTCACGAATTTCTTCCTAATATCCAGTCTAATCCTGTCCTCTGCCCGGGCGAAGGCATTCTGCCCTGTCCTGTCATGCCAGGCCCTGGTCCAAAGTCCCTTTCCAGCCCTCTTGGGCTGAGCAGCTTTAGGTGTTGGTGATGTGGATTCATGGTGAGGGTTTATTCTTTTTTTCTGCAAAGACCATGCACAGGATCAGTCTGGCTAAATGAGCCTCAGGTTGCAACTGAGAAGCTTTATTTCAGTTTGTGGAAAATACCTATTTTTACATTGCTGAACTATTTTAGCTCTCCCTGTCTTCAAGCTTGTCAGGGCAGCAGTTGTGATTCAGGTTTTCCGGCACACAGTGTCCTGTCTCGGCTGCCTTCATCTTTTTAAAGCACTGGTCAGAGGTCACTCAACCAGTGTCCTGTGTCAGGCAGTAGCCCCTAATTAACTGTGGCTAACACCGGACGTGTGTGGTGAAGGAGGGTTGTGTTTTGTGAAAAGCAGCAGAGGGAGCTGGGGGGCTCAGCCTGGAGAGGCTCAGCGGGGACTTGCTTGCTCTCTACAGCTCCCTGATGGGAGGGTGTAGCCAGGTGCGGGTCAGTCTCTTAGGTAACAAGTGACAGGACAAGAGGAAAATGGCCTTAAGTTGCACCAGGAGAATTTTAGGTTGGATATTTGGGAGAATTTTTTCACAGAAAGGATAGTCAAGCCCTGGCACAGCCTACCCAGAGCAGTGGTGGAGTC